AAAATGTTCCTTTCTTAAGATATTGGGTTTTCAACAAGAATGGATTCTTGTCGCCAACGACTCTTTTTTGTACACTTCACTAGCTAGACAAAGAAATATTGTTTTTGAATTAGATCTTTTGGTTATTCTCACAATCATGAGGCCCAGCTGTGAGAAAATTTTCAGAGAAAAATATCTTCATCTAATTTTTCGGTAAATACCTAAAGCTGGATTGAAAGTTCAGTAAAAACGATCATAAATCTGCTTCGAAAACCAATGGATTCGAACTCTTTCAGGATTTTTCTAGTCTTATTAAGATCTTTTTGTAAACCCAATCAATTGGCGTCAGTTGAAACACGTACTTCCCTTGCAAACTTTTCGAAGTACACAAACTTTTGAACCATTCATTGTAACGAGTTTTGACGTATCTCCAGTCTTCCTGTTTACTGGAACATCCTTTATGAATGCTTCCTTCATTATCATATAAAAAAAAGATTATATCCAAGCATAATGCGACATGCTGTCAAACACATCAAATATATGCGATTATTCATATCTTATTATTCAAAATCATAAATCGAAACATACTAATGTAAACAAATCAAAATATATTAAACTGTTCTATTTCAAAATAGTTATTTATTCGCTGTTTGTTATCTATTTATTTTTGTCCGATGAATTTTGCTTATGATAATTTGCCATAGATTTAACAAGAAAAACAAAGTCTTTCATGCATAACATACGATTCAACAATGTGCTGTGATAATGTATATAAACCGGTTACAACACAATGCGTTGATTATATTTTACATTCTTCATATCTGTATTACATGAATGAATAATAACAACAACAAAACCTTCACAGGTTAATGTCGCTCTTTTTTTTTGAAATGTTTCATATTTTTCAGATTAATATAATACAATGTCTGACGACAACGCAGATAATGTAAATGCTGACGAAGAGATTAGTGATGAACAATTCGATGCTATGCTTCAGAATGCTGGTATAAATGATGTTAATGGATTCATGGACCATTTTGATGAAGAAGCGGAAAAAGATGATGGAGAACCGGATGATGACGAGGATGATGCTGACGGTGATGGTGATGATGATGGTGACGGTGACGGTGATGGTGACGGTGACGGTGATGGTGACGGTGACGGTGATGGTGACGGTGACGGTGATGGTGACGGTGACGGTGATGGTGACGGTGAAGGTGACGGTGAAGGTGACGGTGACGGTAACGATAATGCTGAGGCTGAACAACAGGAAGATACTGAAGGTGATGAAAATCAAGACACTGCTGCTCCTGAAGAAACACCACCAGCTAACCCTGATGATGAAATGGAAGGAGTACGTTTATTCTTTAATCGAATAAATAGATAATAGAATAGGTTGTTGTTTTTCTGTGTAATTGAGAATTTTAATTTGTGTTTAGGCTGCCGGTGGAAAGCCTGCACGTAAAAAGGGTACAGGCGGAAAGGGTGCAGGTGGAAAGGGTGCAGGTGGAAAGGGTGCAGGTGGAAAGGGTGCAGGTGGAAAGGGTGCAGGTGGAAAGGGTGCCGGTGGAAAGGGTGCCGGTGGAAAGGGTACCGGTGGAAAGGGTGCCGGTGGAAAGGGTGCCGGTGGAAAGGGTGCCGGTGGAAAGGGTGGAAATAAAATGAGTAAAGTTGACAAGAATGCTGCGAAAAAAATGGAAAACGGTACGGGAGAGCCAAATAATAAGGGTGCTCTTGGTATGATTGGTAGGTGCAAATATTTACAGATTGGAAAACACAATACCGCTTTGAATTTTTTCTAGATCCACAGTATCAGGACATACAACAATTGTATGCGTTGTATCAACAATATATGGCTGCTGCTGCATATATGCAAATTGCTAGTATAGCTGCGTACCTGCAGCAAATAGGGATTAACCCAAGAGGAATAAGTGAGTATTTATGAATAGAAAATATTTGTTTTTGTAATGTTGAACTATTTAGTGTTGGCACAAAAAGCTGTCCCAAGAGTCAATCAATTTAATAATGGTACCACTAACTTTGAACATTTAATGGGTCTTCTTAATTTAGTAGCTCAAATTTATTAAGAAAACCTTCGTAAACCTTAGTGAACTTTTTAAACTGAATCAATGAACATTAAGAGCGTTTATTTTTCAATAACATTATGTAATTTTTCCGTACAAAATAAAGCGAATAACATTGCTACAAATATCACAGTAGATTTTAAGCGAAAAATCACTTATTGATTTACTCGAGCTTCCTATAACTACACGTATCGACAGCTCGAATAAACCAATAAATGATCTTCCCTTAATATCTGATAATATATTGGTAGCACTTTTATACTCCTTATTTTCTGAACTATTCGATGCTACTCTATCTTCAAACTTTTTCTTATATACATTTAATTAATCAATAAATTGAACTTCGAATCTACGAAGAATAGTGCTGAAAGCATTTTAATTTCTTTGAAAAACCATTATGGGAATACCACATGTATTCACGACGAGAATTTATCGCTTTGTTCCTGGCGATTGTATATTGTCGTCACATTTATTCTTGTTATCTCATCAGTTCGCTAATTCGAGTTATGTTATAAATGATGCTTTAATAGTATAAAATGAAATCGAAAATAAACGAAAAAAATTAACCCGGCTGCTTCATTGAATAAAAAGGAAATTTTCGAATTATAATTCAAATTATAAATTTATAAATGAGAGGATCAGCCGTGTATCTTGATTCAAAGCAATTTTGCGATTATCATTCGAATTATAATTCGAAAGAACTTTTTTTATAAATTTGCTGGGGTCACCCTCGCATACATAAATTTACAATTTGAATTATAATTCGAAAGAATTTGTCTTCTAAATTTACAGGGGTCACCCCAAGGGGGAAAAATCTCATTCGGGCATTCCGAGCCATTCGCATTCATTCCAATCCATTCCGATCCATTCCGATCCATTCCAATCCATTCCAATCCATTCCTAGTCATTCCAATCCATTCCAATCCATTCCTAGCCATTCCAATCCATTCCAATCCATTCCAATCCATTCCAATCCATTCCAATCCATTCCTAGCCATTCCAATCCATTCCAATCCATTCCTAGCCATTCCAATCCATTCCGAGCGAAACACATATATCCAGCATTTGTCTGCTACCGAGTCAAAGGTCAAAGGTCAAGAGGCAAAGATAGGGGTGGACCATTTAATTTAACGAGACTTAATTAATGGCATTAATTAATGTTTTTCATTAACCATTAATATTAATGTTAATGTTTTTCATTAATTATTAATATTAATGGTTAATGTTTTCCTTTAAAAACTTAATTCATTAATGTTAATGATTAATAAAAAACATTAACATTAATATTAATGATTAATGATTGACATGAAGCAAATATTTTTTTTATTTTGATTTTTTCATGGAAGAAAAGTTAATTTAAGAAATACTGAGGGTAATCTCGATAATTTTTTCAGGGCCTCTCTAATGGAAACCATCATAACTATTCAAGACAGACTTCATGAGTCAATCAAGAAAATAAGTTTTAAGAAAAAAATTAACATACGTCATTTTTTTTCATTAATTGGTATCTCACGAAAAAATATCTTCAGATTTCTATGGTCTACAAAGAGATACCAAATAATGAACCTGTCGTCCCAGAAAGGAAACTCGATCTAATTTTATTATCCAAAGAATCAACAGTCATCCCTGATTATTTTTTACAAGTTTATTATATATTTTCTCATGATTCATTTTCAATGTCTGGGGTCTCCTCAGGCATCAAAAACAATTATTTTTGTCACCGTTCAATTAGAAGTCCCTATAACTTGGCAGGACTCAGTGGTTTGATTACAAATCTAACAGTTTTTTCTTAAATTAGTTGGATAATAACAAACGTCTATAAGACTTTTTGAAAGCGCTAAAAAACGTTTTTCATCCAGACGTCCATCAAAAATCAATTTAGGTTCACAAAAATAGGCTTACTCGACGAAAATTCTTTTCTCTATCAAAATTTATAAGGAGTTTGGAGACATTGAAACCTTTTCCTACACAATAAATGCCAAATACCGTCCAGATTGGGCCATATTGTCAAAGCTACTGTCTGTTTAGTCTTTTGAAGTTATAGTTTATACAAGTGCATCAGTAAGATTTTCCTATTAAATATGCAATTCTATGTGTTCTTTCTAATAGAACTCTTTTAAACTTGAAAATCGATGTCTAGTAAAGCACTTTTGCTCAAATATGACTTGCAGAACCCAATGTCTATCATTTTTGTTTCCTATTCGACGCTTTTCGAACAGAACAATCCTGGTTTGACTTCAAACAAATATTATATTTAGTATCAGCATAATGCTCTATGTCCATCTATGTGTATTTGAAATTGTTTCTGCGGTCTTTTTTCGATCAAAATTTTGCCCCTGATTCTCCTGCAAGATAAATGAAAAAATAAATATGATGAAAACAACTCTCGGATTGGTACATAAGTTCTGTAGGTTGTTTTGTGTTTTCGGCAAATTTAACGCCTTGCACGTCGTGATTGAAAAGGGATAGAACTCTGAAAATTTTACTATAATTCGAAGTCAAAGACACCTAACTACAATAAAAGTTTCAGACTTCTATCACTTTTCAATCATAAGATGGAAGGCCTTAAATTTGTCTAAAACACAAAAAAAGATGCAGCATTTATGTATCAATGGGATATTTTATGTGTTATTTATTGATCTTTTGCCTTTAAGCAGGTATTTCACAAGTTTAGAATATTGTTTTGATTGTAGAAACAACTTTTTCAATAAATCAATGTTTCACATATTCAGTCGCCACGCGAAGTTTCGAAGATTGGGAGAGGTGTATGACGAATTATGGTATACAAATGGATATTTTCAAGAAAATGTTGCGAAAAAATGCGTAAAAAGTAGTGGAAATGTGCACTTGTTGTTGGGGAAGAACTAAAAGCTTCTGTTTATGGAAGGAGACTCGCTTAGACGCTCGCTTACATGGAACCTGCAGATATTTTTTAGGGAATAAAGAGCAAAAATTTAATCGAAAAAAAAGGCCATAAAAACAACTTCAAATACGCACAATCTGCGTGTAAAAAGTCTTTACACTAGAAGTGGACCATTTTATTTAATGGGACTTTATTACAGACATTAATTAATAACTTCACTTAACCGTTAAAATTAAGGGTTAATGTTTTCCTTTAAAAACTTCATTCATCAAACATTAATTCATTAATATTAAGTCATTAATATTAATGAAAACATTAACATTAATATTAATATTAATGAATTAAGGTTTTTCAAGAAAACATTACTCATTAATATTAATGATTAATGAAAACATTAACGTTAACAGTAATGATTAATGAAAAAAGATTAACATTAATATTAATGTTAACGTTTTCATTAATCATTAACATTAATGAATTAAGTTTTTAAAGGAAAATATTAGCCATTAATATTAATGATTAATGAAAAACATTAACATTAATATTTATGTTAATGAAAAATATTAACATTAATTTAAGATTAATGTTAATGGCCCACCCCTAGTCAAAGGTCAACTGCAAAGGGAAAGTACTCAGATATTCCAATCCATTCCTAGCCATTCCGATCCATTCCGATCCATTCCAATCCATTCCGATCCATTCCAATCCATTCCTATTCATTCCAATCCATTCCGATCCATTCCAATCCATTCCGATCCATTCCGATCCATTCCAATCCATTCCGAGCCATTCGAATGGCTCGGAATGAGCTTTTTCCCCCTTGGGTCACCCTCTCATACATAAATTTGTAGTTTGAATTACAATTGGAAAACTGTTTTCTTTATAAACTTACAGGCGTCATGCCCGCATTTATAAATTTATAATTCGAACTATAATTTGAAAAAGATTTTTTTTTCATATAAAATTACAGAGGTCAACTGTAACGACAAACTGGATTGAATAGCTTTTCGCCATTCTCGGCAATGATGTTTATTCAGCTATTTCACATATCCAGAGTGCAACAACTTCATACATAATACGCATATATATAGGAGAGAGATAGAAGAGAGACAGGAGAGAGATATGTTAGAACAACGGCAAGAGGACAGACAGAGAAGGAAGGAGTCTGACCATTGATTATCTCTCTCTCTATACATATATATGTCCGTCATATTTATTTTGTTTTATTTTTGAAAGCTCGGAGCAGCATAACGTTTACAAAACTATCCTTTATCTATATTAATTATATTTTCGGAGAGTAAGAATAATAAATAATCGTAGTGAAGCTAAATATTGTAAGAGCTTTCTTATATTAACTGATTGAAAGGAGATGATAAAGTAAGTGAGTGATTTAGTAATTAATCACTAATTAATTATTTATATATTTATATATTTATAAAAAATAAAAATTTATAAAACTTTATATATTTATAAAAAATAAAAATTTATAAAACTTTATATATTTACAAAAAACCTCATAAACAGAATAAAAGTTTCTATATATTTAAAAATTTATATATATTTAAAAAAAAAGATATCTATATTATAATGTACAAGTGTTTTTCAGTTCTTCGAGAACTTTCATATGATTGGTCAGAGAACGAAAAAAAAATATACAGATATATGTACGTCGTATATGTTCATTCAGTATATATAGATATAGATATACGTCGTATATGTCCATTCATTATGCATATATATGCCAGTCATCTATATTATATTTTTCATTCAGGAACTTCTTATGTAAATTAAATCAATTTCTCCTATAATATTAAATTTTTCCGATAATATTAAAGCTCAACCAAGGGGAAAAGGCAAGACTCCCGTACTCCCACAATACAATGGGAGTACAGTGGAAGTACAGGGGAGCACAGTGGAGGTACAGTATAGTACAGGGGAGTACAGTAGAAGTACAGGGGAGTACAGTAGAAGTACAGGGGAGCACAGAGGAGGTACAGGGGTGTTACATAGTGCATCACTTCTGCCCTCTTCAGTCCAGCTATTATACATATGCTCTTGTTATTTTCTTTTTCTATTCATCTGTTGTACGTATGCTCTTTTTCGCGTTACTCACTTTTCCTAACTGACGTCCTTGTTGAGTAACAAGAACCATTGTCTTAATTCTTTCTATTGTTCATTTTCTAAACAGACGGCGAAGCTTCTCGACTTCTTCTCTAGTCCGTCTATTGTTTCTGTCCTATGTATATATACTTGCTGTTTTCTTCAATAAAGGGATCAGATATTCATTCATCCAAAAAGTGATATATATGTAACTGGGGGCCTGACCAACTTGTTGTCAAGTCAATATCACAACAAGGTATACCGGATATAGATTTAATAAGAAACTTAATATACATTGAATGCCAGATACTAGAACAACTCGCAATTTGAAACATACATCTATTCACGATCATTTATTAAATAATACAGCGTGCACATATTCAACAATTGATCATACTTCGGAAAAAAACATGCTCGATACTAAACATTTATCAACTACTTCTGCTAATACACTACACCACGATCAAAAAATTTTAACTAATAATGATGATCAACATTTATTAATTGAACCATCAAATGGCTCAATGCTTTCCATTGACAACAATCAACAAAAATTCGCACGAATACCATCGCGTGTTAATCAATATTCATCGGCTCAAACCACAGGTGACACATGTCAACATATGATGAAAAATGCAATTAAATCATCAACAATACATCTTAAACAGGACACTGTGGATAACTTTGTAACATTCTCAGGAAAAAAAGGTGAAGATGCAGGAAAGTGGCTAGATCATATTTTTGAAGTGATTGAACAACAAGAATTAACACTAAGTGAACAACGTGATATAGCTGCAAGAAGATTAACTGATGATGCTTTATTATGGTATCGTCTTAATCGTTTACAAATGCCTGATATGCAATGTTTTATTCAACACTTTTTACTCACTTATAATCCACCGCATGCAAAATTTCCGACTACTGATGCAATCTCCACAGATGTTCATAATACATTAACGGAAGAGGTACTGGCAGACAAAGATTCAGACGAAATTCATGATAATACAACGAAGTCGAACATTACGGAAAACCATTATTTGGAATCATCATGTCGATCGACATCACCTCTACAAGTGTTACAATCAGCTAGGAATGAAAAGGTTAAACTTTTCCCAAACTTTTCTGGCTCTGAAAACTTCTTAAATTGGTTAAAACACTTACAACAAATGGGTAAATCACTTAAATTAAATGAACACCAAATATATCAATTGACAATAATAAAATTAAGTGGTCCTGCTCACGAATGGTTTTATGATCAAGATGAAATTGATAATTGGTCTTCTTTCAAAGGGACTTTCTTATACGCTTTTCCACCACCAATTCAACCAACCAACATTGACTATTTAGCTCAATTGCTAGCACGCAAACAAGGTGAAACAGAACCAGTTGGCAAATTTGTACAAGACATCAATCGTCTATGCCTTAAATTGGATAATAAGATCAGTGAGCAAGACAAACTTCAATATCTTAGAAGAGGTCTTCGTCCACAACTCCAGCATTATGCATTATCGATTAACTCATTGCAAGATCTTCTTACCGTAATGCAACGACATGAACAGATAGAAAAATAAACCTCAAATCAACAAACATCATCCAGATCAAGCCAACAACAACAAAATTCATTCAATCACCCCATGCGCAAGCATTATGATCATAGACAGAATTCTTCTTCAAGAAGTTATGGATCATTTGATAATTATTCTCCTCAAAATGCATATCATCAAACAACTACACAACATTATAAAAAAAAACAATAAAATATGCTATCAGTGTAATAAACCCGGTCATATACAATGGGATTGTCCGGAAAATAATTCTTCACAACAACAGCAGCATTTTCAACAG